TGGGTTTGGTGGTGGCCATGCTTGGATTATCAGAAAGAGCCCCAGATTCCGACAGAGCTGGGCTTGACACGTCCCAGCAGAATCCTGGGGAGTCACATGTGCTGGTGAGGGAGAGGAGAGAGCACCCAATTTGTTTCAGCATTTATATTCTGTGCATGTGCCCAGGTAAAGGCCGAGAACCACACCAGAGTGCCTGGTGAGGTTGTACTGAACTCCTCGCCTCCTCAGGCTCCTGGAAGCTCCAGAGTGGGAAGAGCAGTCCTCAGTGCTCCCAGGAGCCAGGTAGAGGGCCAGGAGATGGCCAGCCACTCTTCCTGTTGAGACATGTGGCCTGATTGTCCTACCCACTCCTGAACATCTCTGAGGGATGTTGTCTCAGAAGTGTCTTCCTGACAATTCTTGTTTCCTCATTTAAAGTCCCCTTGCTATGGGCCTCGCCCTGGACAGAATGGGTGGAGGAGATTTTAGAGAATGAACTGAAGCCATTTTCAATGCTGAAAGATGATGGGCTTCTTTCTCAAGCTCTTCATGCTGAGGGATAGCTGGGCTTGATTCCAATGCAGAAGGAGCCAAAAGAGACCTCAGCCTTACATAGGAGACAGAAGCAGCAGAGATAAACCTCTAGAGAAGCTGACCTGTGACATGTCCCTTGCCCAGCAAAGGGGATAGATTTGGGAGAAGGGAAGAGCAGAGGGGCTTCTAGGTGCCTTCTTCCCCTGGGGACTGCCTGTTGGTCAGGCAGGCCAGTGTTCTGAGAGCCCTGGTCCTGGGATGGAGAAAGGTGGATCTAGTTGATGAAGAAGATCCTAGTTTGAATGGGGGACACCCAGACCCTGCTTTCTGGAGGAAGGCTACATAGGACACACACATGAGTACACACACACACACACACACACAGAGGGTATACAGCACAACACCCCAAGGGACCCACAGAGTAAGCAGTGGTTATACTAGAGGGCTTGGAGTGCTCGGGGCTGGGTGGGGTCACCTTTCTTAGCTGAATTTTGTTCAAGGTTTTGAATACAAGGAGAGGTATTGGCTAAGAAGGAGAGAAAGAATGTTTCAGGTGCAGTGGGTATGACCTACTTGAAAGCCTGGAGGTAGAAGAGGATGAGTCACCCTGCAATGGTTTGCCTGTCCCCATGGGTGAGACAATTCCATGTATCCTAACAGGGAGCTGCCTCCATTTTCAAAGGTTTTTGTAGGTGAGAAAGTTTGGGTTACCTCTATGGGCATAAGAGATAATCAGCCGGACCTTGTCCAAGGCACCCAGGGGAAGTTGCATGCAGAAATTGATCTTCCAAGTGGTAGATTTTCTGACTCAGTTTTGCACATTGAAACTTCATATTGGCATAAAACAAGACAAGCTCTCTGGACAGACCAACCCCAATTGCTTGTATGTTAAGGAAAGCAATAGATGCTCAGAGGTATTTGTATGTTGACCTTGGGGTTCTATGGGTGGGCAAATGCCTTCTGGGGATGACATGGAAGTTGGGCTGGCTGCCAGCTTCACTGTGAAGCCACCATCTTTTTGCTCATGGTCAACGCACCTGTTTGGAGAGAAGAGTAGGAAGGCATGTGATTGGCTGAGAGGATGGTGGTGATTCTGTGGAGTGACCTGGGAGCAAGGACCATCTCTCTTTACCTCTCCTAGAACCAAGAATCCTACTCTAGGGAGTGGCTTTGGTTGTCTGAAACTGCACACAGCTCCTGTCTTGTCCCATTTTATGCCACCCATTGGAAACCTCCTGGGTGGAGGAAGCCCTGGTTGAGTAGAATTCAGAGACCCTGATCCCATTTGGCATTAAATGGAGATGCTGAGCATCTAGGCACCAGGTATCGGAGACCTTCACCACAGGGCTGGGCAGGGGAGAAGAATTGGTCAACAGAAACGGCCAGCTTGCACCAGTTAGATCCAGTCCCTGCTGGAGCAGTGCCCTGTACCCCAGATCCTCAGGAAAGTAGAAATATGATTCTTGCTTTGGAAAGTGCCCAAAGTACCTGGTGGTAAAGACTGGTATAGACAGAAGACAGAGATGGAGGTATCATTAGTCAGGAAAGGCTTCCCAGAGTGAGTCTGTAGAAGTGGGGAAACTGGGTGGAGAAGGGATTAACAACATTGACCTCATTGAGAAGTCCCATGTTCTTGCTGTTGAACTTGGCTTTTAGCGGACATTGCTTACCAGCCATAACCCAGGGGTCAGGAGCAGGGGAAACAGCTTTTCTGCATGAGTAGGTCTCTTATAGACAGAGCTCACCTACCACCTGACCACTCAGTTATCTAGCACACTGCTGGTGTGACTTCAGGTGTATGGCATCTCTGGACTCCCCCCTCCGTTGACGCCATTGCTGTAAGTGCAGCTGCCTTATGCCAGAGAGGTAGGACTGGCTGGTGTGATGGCAGCCTTGCTCTCACAGGGAGCCAAGCAGTCCCCGGTTGCAGACAAGTCTTGAAAGATAACTTTAGCAACTTTCTGGAAGGTCCCAGAGGCCTTGGCCCAACCAAGTAAAAGTTACAGCCCACACTTCTTGTCACCAGAACAGACTTATGGCTGGGACATGGTCACTGGTTTGGGGCACTATAGAGCATCCCACCCCTGCTTCTACATACATGTGTCCACCCCCTCCCTCCATAGCATCTGAGACCCCCACCTTTGTACAGAGAAGAACATGTGAGAGGGCAGCGGGGCAGGTGTGGGAGGAGGAGGCGCTTCATCTGAAGACCTGGAGGGAAAGTCCCGTCCAGCTGATCAAGGGCGGAGGCCCCAGTGGGAACCTTTGGGGGATGCCTCTCCAAGTCGGAGTCCCCCCTGGGGCTCCATAGAACCCATCTGTCACCACCCCAGATTTTCCATCTGGAAGCAGCTGGCTGACCCATGCCTGCCCTTTGGAGAGAAATACCTCTCATAAGGTGAGAACCAGGCAGACTCTGGCCTGCCAAGCCTTAGCAGGGGTAATAGTGGGCTGGACAGAGGGGAGGCAGGGACCTGGCTATCAGCTCCCTAGAGCCCTGACTGTGTGTGCCTGGCTGCACCCTCTTCTCTGTGAACTAACTAGTTCTGGGTGACTGATCCCACAAGACTCCTCCAGTCTTCCCAGAGAAGCAGCTGCAGAGAGGGTGAGAAGCTAGCTGGCTGCATTATCAGCGGTTTGGAGTAAGTCAGGGCCCAGTGGGCCATGGCAGAGTCCCAGGGCTTGCTCAAATGGGAAGGTCCTCAGTAGTGGGGCCTGGACCTGGGCCGTCGAGGATTTCAGGCATAGGGTTCTCTGGAAGAACCTTGAGGCAGGTGGCAAAGGAGGCGATGGTTAGCTTTAGATGTTTGTTCTTCTTCCTTGAAAGCTGAGCTTTGTCTCAGGAGAAGTCCAGCCCTTCTGAATGCCATTGAACTTGTGTCATTATAATAATACAACCATGCAATACTGGAGCTCTATGGGGCCTTTGGGGTGCAGAGAAGCCAACACCCTCTTTTTACAGAAGAGGAAGCTAAGATCCAGAGAAAGCATGTCACTTGCCTAAATGCCAGACGGGATTGATTTCAATAAGTCTAGTCTCTAGTCCAGGGCAAGTTGTGACTGCCACAGCCCAATAGCCTTAATGTTCATCGGTCTTCTATGATAGGGAATGGGAGTTAAGGGAAGTGCCCTCTTTTGTGACCTATGTATGGGCATATGGCACTGGACAGAGGAGGTATCCCCAAGAAGAGATGCTGGCCTCTTTCCAGTGCTGCGCCTCTGATATTCCCATTGACCTCAGCTCAGACCATCCAGTCGCTGGGAAAACTCTTGAAGTCTCAGTGGGTATGGCAGAAGAGGAGGGGCTGATAGGCCAGGGGACACCACCAACCAAGCCCTCTTCCCCCTAGACAGGGTTTCAAATAGGGAGTGTGACAATGGCTTTAGGAAAAAAAAAATTGTGCACATTCCTGCCAGGAGGCTCTTGTTGGATCCCTCTTACCTTCATTCCCAGAGGCCACATTTAACAAGAGTGTACAGCAAAACCTGCTCTAGAAGTCTGGGCCTTGGGTCCATGGCTTGACCCTCATGGAACTCCCAGGGTATCTGAGGGAACGGGCAGTGATGGATACAGAAGTCAGGACAGTATGTGTTCAGAGGCTGATCAGAATGAGCTTCCCAGAGGAGGTGAGTCTTGAGACCCATGAGAGTCAATGGTTGTAACCCAGGAGCGAAGGCAGAGTTAGCAAGGGAAATGGAGTTAGCAAGAGAGTCCTGCAGAGTTGGGGATGTCCCTCAGAGCCCCCATGCCAATCTGGTGAAAGGGGGAAGTGGGGGGGGTTCCCACCAGGAACCCAAAATCTAGTTCTGCTTTTTGTGATTCAAAGCCACTTTACCCCTAATAACCCTAATGACACTCTGTGTTCCCTTGGAGCCTGTCATTTGTGGGTCTCCAAACACTGTGAAAACATTAATTAATCCTCACCGGTCCTTTGAGGTTGATCGCTTCTCCCTCTTCAGTTGGAGAGCCTCGGAAATGAAGGAAGAGGCGGAAGGTAACCTGGTCATCTGTTGGGGCTGGGCTTAGGTTTGAATCCAGACTCTCATCAGCCTTCGCCGCTCTGTGGCTTTGACCTTGGGGCTCTGGACCTGTAATGTCGAGATCCTGCCTGCCTTCCCCAAGTGAGAAGTTGATCTTTGCGGAATACAGAGTCATGATTCCCTGGACTGGAATAGCAGTGCTTCAAGACCCTCTGGGCCACCTCCTGACTTGTATGTGTCAACCAGCCTCAAGCCACAGGGAAGCTATTAGACTCTCCAAAATAGGTCAACTGAAACTCTCTGTTGCATTGTCCCTGCAACAGTCTATGGTGGCCTTTCCCTTGGCCCTGGCTGTGGAGGGAGATGGAGATTGCCCACCCTCCTCCTTCAGGAATTCAGATCAATCTCCTCCATGGGAGTGGGAGACCTGGATGCCGGGGATGCCCTAGGAGGATGGGGGAACATTATTGCCATCCCTGTGGTAACCCCCTTCTTTTGCTCTCCAGGTTCCATGTACGATGGCTTGACTGACAACTATAACAACTATGGGACCACCAGCCGGAGCAGCTACTACTCCAAGTTCCAGGCAGGAAATGGCTCGTGGGGCTATCCGGTAAGGGACTGCTTCCATTCAAAAGGACCTGGAATGTTTGGGGGGATTATTTGGGGTTCCAGGTGGAGAAGGCCTGCACTGCTTGCTAAGAAATAGTGATATAGGTCTTGGCTAGTGGGTCAGGGGTCATCAGTTCTGCAGTTCTTTGGTAGCTGGTTCAGCATGTAGTCTCACCTTTGGCTGGTAGGTTATATCTGAATGAACATTTTAGACAAAACATAAAGAAGAGAGCATTTAAAAATCAATTTTCCTATATGTTTGATTCAATCATGTATTTGAGAGAAGTTTGAATTCTTAAGGCCAATATATAGACCTGTTTAGCTGTTTCTAGGAAAATCCTGAAAAGTGTTCCTTCTTTAGTATGTTCTGATGGCCAAGGAGGGACTCTAGAAGGTCCTCTGAGGTCAAGAGAGCATGTCCACTGCAGCGACTCCTGCAAAAAGGGGTAGGTGCTGGAGTGAATCCTTGCTTGAGTTTTAAGTCAGACAAACTTGGGCTCACATTTGAGCTGTCACTCACTAAGCTTGTGACTTTGAGTAAATTACTTCATCCTCTGGCCTCGAGTTCAGGTAAAGCAGACATTACAAATTCTACTTGGGAGTATTGTCAGGATTAAATGAACTAGTGTGCATTAAAAAAAAAACAGATTACAACAATTCTTTAAAAATTCATATGGCTAGAGATTATTCTAGATCCTTTAATCCTGATTCAGTCTCTCTCTTCCTATATGATTTCAACCCACTTTACCCATCTGACCATTTACTGAATATATATTTACTGAGGGGAACTCTGTGCCAAGCACTATAGTAGGCGCTTTTGATATAATTGTACAAACCAATACAGTTTTCTTTTACTCTAAAATCAGGGGTACCAGGCACTCTGAAATTCTCCCAGTCCCCAAATTCTATGAGTTTCATTTATTTTCACTGATCTGAATTTTAGTGTGCCTTGTTCTTGGGGATTATTTTGTGACACATTGTGGAGATAGCAGTGAAAGTCACTTCCGGGGCTCTGTCTTCTTGGGGCTCTGGATCAGTAGCATTTTCTTCCAATCCTGTTGCTCGCAGATGCCACTCCTGATTGTCAAAGATCCTGGGTCAGGGGCTAGGAAGGAGGTGGGTGGTTTATGAATGTGGTGTTCTTTTGTCATTGGTTTGATTCAATTCTTTTTTTAATTTTTTAGTTGTAGTTGGACACAATACCTTTATTTTATTTGTTTTTTATGTGGTGCTGAGGATCGAACCCAAGGCCCCGAAGGTGCTAGGTGAACACTCTACCACTGAGCCACAACCCCAGCCCTGTTGATTCAGTTCTTTTGGGACTAATATTTAGTGACTGTGTATTTTTCACGTATTTGTTGGGCACTAAAAATAAGAGAATTAAATTTTCTGCAGTTTTTCCATGATTTCTTTTTAAAATCCTTCCTCCTTTATCACAATATGAAAATTGAAACATTTAATCAACAAAGCTGAGATTCTTATGACCTGTGCTTTTTATTAACTTCTTAGACTTAGAACCAACCTTTTCATTTATCAATATCCTATCACTTTAAGCTCTCTTAGGTACAGTATTCCTGCTTACATGTATCAAAACTCATACTGAACAATGAGCTCTGGGTTGCAAAAGAGGATTTACTTTTTGCGCTTGCCTACAAGTCTTTGTCCAAAGTTAAACAAAAACACACACAAGTGCTATCCATGATTCTTGATGTCAGCCAACACTCTTAAGACAACATGAATACAATAGGGATGACTGAACCCAGGAAGCTGGCAGATCAAGCACAAATGTGAAAGGGCTTTGACACAAAGGGTGATGGCCAGAAAGACCCTGAGAAATTGTCTTAGTAATGTAGGTAAAGGGATTAGGTGAAACCCAAAGAAGACAGGTTGCTGGACCCGCAATCCAAGTGAGTAATCATGCTGACACTAAAGATGTTATGTGTCCTTACATACAGGATGTCACCAGGTCAGAGCTTAGAAGTGTCACATTCTACCCTGGTTCTCTCACTCTTGGGACCACTCTGGGCATTAGTTTTCTCATCCCTAAAGTAGAAGTGTCTGCTTTCCTTGCAGGTTGATATCATACCACAATAACTGTGTTATCCAATGGACAGTGTAACCATGGAAATCTGTAGAAGAACTCTTTGGGAGGAGGTGTTTCTGAAATCCATCCTCATGTGGCTTATGTTGAGTGCTTTGCTTCTGGTTAATTAACTCAATCCTCAGCTGTCTTGCTGACTTTAATGCTCCCACCCCTCCCTGTGCCCATTTTCTGACAACCAGTGAAAATCTCTTTCCTTCCCCGAACCCTCAGGCCCCACCCTCCTCACTCGTTTGCTGGCAGGATGGCAGACATGACTCATGACAGGGTAGCTGCTGAGGCACGTCCGTCTCCTCTCAGTTCAGGAGAGGCTATGGGAACAGGGAAGAGCTGAGCACACACGAGGATTTGGCAGAGGGAGGGGGCCAAGCAGAGGAAGTGGAATAATTGATATTGGAGCCAGACATATAATCAGTTGAGCACTGGGCAAAACCAAATGGGGGGGTCCAGATTTAGGGAGAAGAAGAGTGGGGAAAAATGGTCATAGAGATCTGTGGAGTGAGATAATCCCATGCCTGTGGGATTTTCCCATGGAAGGTACACCTGGCATGGAATATTTTATTTCCCACCCTCTAGTGAAACCAATATGGCAGGTGAAGGCAGGGAGCGTGGGGAGGAGGGTGTGGTTCCCCTGCACAGCGTCGTCAGCATGTCTTCTGAGAGCTGAAGAGGGACCATTTCCTGCAGACACTTTATATTCACTCAGTCAGCCAAATGCTATTGAGCAATGGCTGAGGCATGGCAGGAACTGAAGCGCACTGCAGAGACAATTGAAAAGACTCTGGCTTTGTCCCCACTGAACTTCTCCTCACGTTGGGATAAGCACAGAGGTCAACAAAGAGAATGCAGGTATTCGTTGCTGAACTCGAATATTCCACTAATACTGTCCCTGCTCAAAATCTCAAGATGTTTCTAGAACCTCCAAACAGTTTTACTTTTTATTCTTTTCTTTTTCCTTTTTTTGAGATGGGATCTCACAGTGTTTCCCAGGCTGGCCTCCTGGTTCCTGGACTCAAGCAATTCTCCTGCCTTAGCCTCTCCCATCCCCACACCCCAAGTAGTTGGGTTTTACAAGCTCAAAACACCATTTCCTGGCTTAAACATTTTAAAATAGAGCTGTCTGTAGTGTACATATTTGAAGAGCCATACAAGAACCAGTCTCATTTCTTTATTGTCATGACCTGTGTTTGACCAGAAAATATTACCCACTTTAAGGACTTCATTCCTCAAATTTGGCTCCAGTTCCAAATATGGAAACCATCCTCAAATAACAAATCTTTGTCACCAGTGAGCAGATATTTTATTTAAATATATGAAGTATTACCTTAGAGTTTTGCTTTATATTCTGTCAGCAATAGCCTTTTAATTAAAAAAAAATCATACTGTTTATAAACTATGATCAATCACCTGTACCATAGATTTAGCAATTGACTATAGAGAGTCTTGTAAGGCTTACAACAAAGTCTGACATACAAAAAGCATGGAGAGGATTAAGGAAAAGACTAGTCCAGAGAAATTAATCGGCACAGACCATCCATGACTTCTGGCCACTCCAGCCTCCTCCTTCAGAGACCAGGATCTGCTGGAGAACAGTGTTGGAGCCCCAGAATCCTGCAGTCCTCAGGGATTGGAGGGAGCTGGCCAGTTGGGGCAAAAGATGGGGCCATTGGTAGCCCCACTGCCTGGTTTCTCAGATGGACAGAATCAGCTCCAAGGCTCTGGTTCTCAGAACAGGACTCACGGATATTAGAGTCCCTACAGGGTTTACATTTTGCAGTGAGGAAACTCAGACCCAGAGAGGACAAACTACTCCCAAAGGTCACACATCTGCCTAATGGTACAGCCAGGATCCCTGACCTCTAACTCCCAACCTGATGGAGTTTGGTTATGTTACCCCAAACATTTGCAATCTCTGTGATGACCATTTTGTGGGTTTTCACAATCTCCACACTTTAACACTACACCCACGTTCTAGGGACTTGCAAGAGACCCAGAATTCAAATTCCTTCATTCCTCCCCTCCCTGCTTTCCAACCACTCTACTGTCCTTGGAGGACACCCTAGGTCCAACACGAGCAGCAGGGCATGGTCATGATTTTTCCCTCCTAGATTCAAGCTGGGTTCCCTTGGCTATAAGCCAAAGTAAGATTTCCAGGTAAAGTATACCAAAGTACAATATTTGGGATATAATTATACTGAAAAGTTATTTGTTGTTTATTCAAAATTCAAATATAATTCTACATCTTGTGCTGCTAGAGAGAGCTGAGTCTGGTAACCCTAGAGGATAAAAGCAAGGCTGCTTTAAGTACTTTTGTCCTATGCTAGGGACCCAAGCATAATTACTTTAGGTCACATCCATTTCTGTTGAGAAAATGGAGGCTTTGGTCCATCTTAGTTGTCCTTATAATGGGTCATTTGAATACCTTCCTCTGAGTCAGCTAAGATCGGGATGAGGGGAATAGAGAGCTATAGCCACGGTGCAACATATGATGGTGAGCACCATGTTAAATCACTCAACCATACTCAGTTCAATCCAGCCTGGCATGCTTAAGAGTGAGAATCTCCAGTGGAAGGCACAGCCTTCTATTCCAAAACTGAAAAATAGGTTTCTATCACATGGATTGGTCCCTAATGAGGCTGAGTCAATTGGATTATCTTGATTCCCAGGGCATGCATGTGAGATTAAGATAGCAATCCCCCTTTCTACCAACTCTCGTACTAAAGGGTTTTTCTTTTTTCAAACTAAGAGGCTCATCTTGAGCATTCAGTTCTTCTGGGAGTCCTATCAAGTAAAATATTCTTTGGTTGTGGATTGGACTGAACCATCCTTCCTATGATCTAAACCTTAGAGGAAAGAAGCCAGGAGGTCTAGAACATGGCATACCATGGTGACCGCCATAT